AAAAAGGGGACAGCTGAGACAGGTCCATGCAATAAGGCACTTGTGGCACATGAGCTTAGCGACAATAAAAAACACGCAGCTGCGCTAGCCAATAAATGCTCAGGTAGTACTTCACCAATCAAATCACATGCAGGGCATCAGCAGTTAGTTTGCCTCTTTGGCAGTCACCTTTCCGGAAGACTTTGCGTTCGGGTCTGTTGGGATATCACCTTTTGCGTCTTCTGGTGCCGCAGTCGGCTCACAAGACGCGTCTGCTGAAAAGAGAAAATGTGTGGACTGGTATGAAGCATATATGAAAAAGTAACATGTTGCCTACTAATTGCGTTTCAGTAGACAGTATTGTGGGGAATTAAAATTCATTTGGCCTAATTGTGAAGCATCCGGCGGCTTCGCTGGCATTCAAAATTACGTCAGTTGTAGCCAACTGAGTTACGAGTCCCCGACCGGGAGTCGTGAATGTAATCACACTTGGATGAGAATATTTGTAACGCCCAAAAAATGAAAGCTTCTTAAATTTAAAGCAACGTTTCGCAAGTGCAAATTTAAAAGTATCAATAACAGCAAGATGACTTATTGGATCCATATGATTACGAGAGAGCATCCTAAGATTAAATTTACCATGGAACAGGGACAAGATGACCATCTTTTCTTCCTCGACGTTCACTTATCCAGACAGAAGGATGGTTCCACTACACGAACGGTCTTCCATAAAAATACCTGGAAAGGACAGTATTTGCATTATCAGAGTTTTGTTCCCATTCAATGGAAAAGTAACTTGGTATATACTCTTTTCCAGAGAACCAAAAAGATCTGCCCTATGGATACATTGGATGTTGAATTAGCCAACCTCAAAGGCACCTTAATGAAGCGAGTATATCCAAGTCAGTTTATAGACAAATACAGTAAACCTGTAAGACCTAAATTGACTCAGCAATTAGCACCAAAAAACCGTTTTCATTTCCTTACCATGTAAGGGCGATAACATACTGAACACCATCAAAAGACGCCTTCTCAAAGCCATTGAAAGGACGTACTATGCTGCCGATCTGATAATTTGCAATCCGACGAAGCCTTTACCAATTCCTCATGCGAAGGATGCCATGCTGTTGCACGCCACTTCAAACTGTATTTATGAATTTACATACACTTGCGGATGCAAGCACATAGGGCAAACATAGCGGCATTTGGCCGTCAGAGCTAAGAAACATTTACCTAGCCGGTTAATGAAACAAGATAACAGAACTCCCCGATCCTCAATTACTGAACATCTGCTAGACTCGGGCCATTCTGTTGACCCCAAAACGTCTTTCCGAGTACTTGTTCGAACACGAACAACTCGCATTTTACGCTACT